CGATAAATATCATCACATGCCTCGGTGGTCAAAGGATAAGATGCCTGCCCCGGTAAAGCAGGAGATCCAGGTTCGATTCCTGGCTGAGGTGGATTTTTTCGCAAAATAATTACGAGTTTTTCACGACTGGTTCGTGGTCGGGCCCTGCCGTGACGCACACCCTCCCTTCTTATTTGGGACTCTGTGTGACTAGTATCACCTCTGTGATACTTCTTACGTTTGTATGGCATTGTTGAATTTACGTGTTACATTACACGACATTTACACTGTCGAATTGGCACGTGTGCGACGTTCGTAAGTAAAATATTACTAACGCAATCGACTTTCGTGGTCAAATGACTCGGAAAGTGATATTTTTTAAATATGTCAAGATGAAACAGCGTTTGCAAATATAAGAAGAATCAAGAAGAAAACGGATATTTTTGGTCTAAAACGGTAATCGCATGCTGAAATTGGAATTGATCGAAATTTCATTACTCAGAGCACTCGGGGATCAAAATTCGCGCGAACGCGCGTTGAAACTTGAAAAAAAGACGAATTTCGCTGGGTTACGCGATTCCGCGTCAAGAGATGGCGACACTGTGCGGTGAAGCAAGTCGCGCACTCAACGTCCGGTACAAGCGTTAATTCAAACGGTGCGCTCGGCGGGAGTAGTGGGGGCTTCTATCCATTTCGAAAATAAAAATGCACCGTGCGATCCGGGATTTTCGTCGGACGCGATACGCGACGCGAGGATAAAAAAAGCGCCGTGGGACACGCTGTACGGGTCGAGGCCTCTAGCCGCGGAGTGACCGCGCGTAAAATGACGTAGATGCGTCGCGTCGGGCGTCAGCGCGCGCGCTGCCGACGTGTGTGGTGAGCGGAAACGGTGCTGCGCGGTGTGCCGTCGCGGGGCGCGCGTCGTAGCGATCGGCGGTAGCGTACGGGAAATTGGCCGCGGTGGCTTCGCCAATGGATGCCAGGCAGCACGGGACGCCATTTTGATATACGGGCGCACGTCAAGCGCTTCGTCCTCGCTCGCAGTGGAACGCGCTCCGCGAGTCCGCTCACCGCCGGCCTGCGTAGGACACGCGCGGAGCCGAATTCGAGCGTTACGCGAGCTGGCCGGGCATCGCGAGGCGGCTGATGGGCCCTGGCGTGCTGCGTGGCGCAACGGATCCCCGTGAGTTTCGTTGACAAGTGACAGGTGAATCGATCGGGGCCTACGAAAGAGAGAGAGAGAGAGAGAGAGAGAGAGCACGAGATAGAGGGAGAGTGTGCGTGAGGCTCCTCGTCGCTGTTCGTCGACGTCGTCGTCGCCGCTGTCGTAGTTTGTATTTGTTGCGGTCTCGCGAGTCGAGAGTGGAGCGAAACGGAGCGAAGAGGAGCCGAGCCGAGCCGAACCGAGCGCAGCGATACTGTGTGTCGTGCCGTGCTGTGCTGTGCTGTACCGTGCCGTACTGTACTGTACTGTACCGTGTGTCGTACTGTGCCGTAACGTGCTCGCCCGCTGCTGACTATCTTTCGGTGGCACATACCGATTTTTCCTGCACGCGGCGCGAGAGTCTCGTGGAATCGCGCGCGGACGCCCGCGGGAGCGTCGTACGCCGTTACGCGGCGGCTTGCTGGCAATTCGGGGGCGGCGGTACGGCAGGGAAAAGCCGCCGCCGCCGTCGTCGCCGTCTCGTTTCGCGCGCGCGAGCGAGAGAGCGAGTGAGCGAGCGCGCGGCCGACGGACGGAGAGAAAGAAAGAAAGACGGAGAGTGAGTGTGTATGCGTATGAGTGTGGTGTGTACGCAAAGAAAAAGAGACAGAGAAGGAAAGAGCGAGAAAGAGAGAGGGAGAGAGAGAGAGATAGGGCGAAGCAGCGAGACAGAGGTATCGAAGAGGCCACCGGCCGACTTCGGTGCAGGACAAGACGACCCGATGTCGGGAGCGGGTCGCGACCCCGTGTCGACCCGCGGTCGTCCCCGTCCACGTCCACGTCCTCGTCCTCGCCCTCATCCTAGTGCATCGCCGTCGCCGTCGTCGTTCTCGCCGTCGTCGTCGTGCGTCATAAAAGCAGCAACTGCGGACGCAACGATAGCAGCAGTAGCGGCAGCAGGACGCTCCACGCGTAAATGTGCCCCCGTGCGCGCCCATGTGCTGCACCTCCTTCTACTTCTCTGCCCGCTGCCCCTACGTGCCCTGTAAATTCGGAGCACATCACCCCGACTAGCACGCCCGCACTCGCGCGCACTCGTACTCACGAACATGGCCAAGATCCTCAACAAGGACCCCGTCACGTACGAGAAGGAGAGGGAGAACTTTCTCAAGGACCTCCGACACTTCCACGAGACCCGAGGGTAAGCCGAAATATATATGTCTGTCTCTTTCTCGTAACGTTTGTCGCGCAAGTTCATTTCTATGAATGTGCTCCGTGAAGATCGCATCCTCCTCCTCCTCCTCCTCCTCTATCTTCTCCTTCTATTTCTACTTTTTTCTCTCCTTTCCTGTTTTACATTGGTGTCGAATTTAGATCGCTTTCCCCCCTTTCCTTCGGACCTATCAACGATCAGAAGCCGCAAACGACGCGCGAGCGCGCGTTGAGGTTAGGTTCGACCGTTCCCTCGACTCGTCGAGTTTTGAGGACAAAGGTTTTTATGACTCCTATTTACCAAACGTTTCCTTCTTCGCGAGTGGTTTTTTTCGAAGAAAGATTCGAAAGATATGGACGGGCACTTTGGAACACATAATTACATTTCATACACGTATACGTGTGTATATAGATTTGATTGTGTGTATATAGATTGTATAGAGACGTGTGTATATAGATTGATGATAGCATCGAGATATTCTCGAAATATGACGGTGTAACGTAAATATGCTATGAACGTTCCGTTGTTGCGCGATTCGATTTAGCTCCGGATCTTATATCACGATTACGTGAACTGCGATTTTTTTTACGACGTGAAAACGGAAATAACGCGCGTTATGTGCTACTGTTTCGTAAGGCATGCGTTTGCGATTCGAAATTCGCTACGTCCGATGGAATGTGAAACTCGGATTTTCCCCGGGCGTCGTTTCTTTGGGAAATTTTTCGAGCTTGTCAATTGTGAATGTAAACGTTTGTCACACTTCTCATTACAAAAGTGTACTCGATCTTTTGGATTAATCGATCGCAGATGTTGACTCTACGTACGTTTGTAAACAGAAGCTACTGGAAAATACCGCGATCAATTATTTTCATTCTCAACGTGTGATATTTTTACAAAATTTTTTTTTATATAAAAAGGAAACAGAAAAGAGATAGATTGCCTTTTGATTGGTCGAATAAATTGTTGAATATAAGATAAAGTTTGCTTCAATGTATATATTCATTCTAAAGATTCCTTTTTAATTTCAGGACACTCTTCAAGAAGTCTCCAAGAATAAATGGAAAGGATATAGATCTGTATTTATTATATGTGGTAGTGACCGCTCATGGAGGATGGATTAAGGTGAGTGTTTATTTTTTATCAAAACAAAAAGGAGTTTTAATTAAACACATCGTGGAGCACTCAGTTAGCTCGCGCTCCTAATTACGTTTAATAAAAAACTGTATGATATCTAAAAACGTATCTACGAATTAATAGTAACAGTGTTTTTAATATCTAGTTACGAAGTATTGCCCAACGAGAGTGTATAAAACAACATGGCATTGTTGTACAACGGAAAATAACCCCGTTGTGTATATGAAGTCACACGTAACGCAGTTTATAATTAACGATTATAGAATACGGTGGATTCTGTCGATAAATAATTGTTTGCAAAATCACCGTGGCCGCCATCTCATTGTGATTAACATCGTTTTGATTAAATGTTTGCGTCGAACGAAATGCAAAATAAATTTTCGCGAACCTCGGTTTTAATTAGCATTCGGTTGTAATCGATTTTGCTGGAACCAAAGGCGATGTTACGTAAAAATGCAACGAATGCTCGAGAATAATATTGAGAATACCGCGGAAGATAGAAACCATTTCGATAAAGATATGTATCTTTTAAAGCGCTGTCTATCTATTCTTTCACATTGAATGATGTTTAACAAATAGTTCCTGTATGCGCGCGCGCGCGTGTGTGTGTGTGTGTGTGTTATATGAACAACACACAACACACATATATCTCTTCGCATAACGTACAAAATATACACGAAAATAATTTCGCTAAGTATCTAAAAATTTGAAAATCTAAAAATAAACAGATTTAAAAATAATGTTTATTATTTTTAATTTATCGCTAAAAATAATTTTGTTGGGATAATAATTATGTTGGATATTTAAATTGATTGCTAGAATTAAAAATTTTTTTGCAATATTATTATGTTTAAATGTCTTGCTTATTTTGATAGATCAATAAAATTATTTTCGAATTTATATTAAATTATTAGATATTTTAACAAAATCGGTTTTTTTGTCTTCATTTCTTTTTATTTCTTTTTATTTAAAAATGCATTTTTGTTATTCATCTAACAACAAAAAATTTATTTATCTAAAAAAATTATTTGTAAGGATTTCGTTTAGTTTGAAATATTATATAATTATTTTCTTAGCCGAAGCAAATGATTTGATGACCGAATGAATTTGATAAAATTAACTTAATTTGAAGAAATAATTTTTCTATACGAAGCAATGCTTTTTTTTAATGCATGTTTTTGTTATTATTATTAGTTATTATTATTAGTTATTAGTTGTTATTATTATTTGTTATTATTATTAATTTTGTTATAAAAGCGGGTGGGAAAGTAACGGGCGAGGTATCTTTTATCTTTTATATCTAAGAAATTCCTTCGACTCTCCATTTGTTCTCAAACGTGAAGAGTGAAGGATGGATTTGAACCAATATTACTCAATAATATAAATTATTAATCTGCTGTTCTGGGCATGAAGCCAAGCTTTCATCTTGAAAAATTCGACTATATTTAGCGAAAATTTACGAAAACTTAAGCTCGATCGAGTGAGTTACTTTTCTTAAAAATTAAGAATTTCCTTCGCAATCTTTTTGCGTCGCGACACATATGGTTCAGTTCGCGTTTGCGGATTGTTCTCAAATAAATCTCGATCTTTGAGCGATTGAGAACGCAATGAGTATTTTTACGTCGGTATTACGCAAGCGTATGCGATTTCTGATGATCCCTCGCATCTTGCGCTCAACGATAGTAACCATTATTAGTACGACTAACTATAACTTACGAGAATTTGGCATCGGCGAAGACAGATAGCGCGGGTACGACGTGGCCCAGATTCCGTCCGAGGAGAGCTCTATACAACGACATTAATTCCTCCGATGATAATCGCACGTCCTCGCGTACGGCGGAATTAAAACGCTCGCTTTCACCTATCGCGCGTTAAAATGCGACAAATCACTACCTAGAAGTGAAATGACCGACGTAGTTCTGTCGGCGCGAATGAAGAAAAAAGAGAAAAGGAAAGATTATGAAATATCGTTACGGAACGAAAGTTAGACATTAGCGTTAGCTTTCGTTCTGAAAAGATAATACAGGATGAAGTATCCTACAAATATTCCGTACATTTCTGTTATTTCTCCCAATTTAAGCGTTTGAATTCTTTTCTTCTTCTTGTGTTTGTGTTTTTTGTATCTTGCAACATCTTTTTTCCCCTCTGACATTCAATAGTCGTTTCCAAATTTATCTTGAATGTAAAAAGGAGAGAAAGGAAAGAGGGGACGTGACTGAGAAAACGGGTCTCGTGATAGATCGCGTACGATTCGATTTCGCGGATCTCCCGATAACGCGAACTGTAACTTACCTTCACGAGCTTCACGGCTGCGCTCCCCGTCGCATTAATTTTCCGAGAGACATGTCGCGCCGTGAACACGCCATTGTCGTGTCCCTTTCTTTACGAGCGTAGCCGCGACGAGCGAGAGAAAAGATACGCGCGCCCGCGACACGGCGCGATTTCGCCGCGATGTTTACGACCGATTGATTATCGGTCTGACTCTCGTAACGACGAAGGTAGTACTGCGCGTTCTATACTGAAGCCGCATGGCGATAAGCAACCACGCTGGTACGCCAGTGGTTATCACACTCGTGTTTCTACCGTCTTCGACGAACCAACAAGATCTGACCAATTTTTTTGCTTAATCGTTCTCGATCGATCTTTCTAACGCAAGAAGACGTTTTCGTATCGCAAAGATTTAAATAGCCTTTGTAATCGATTTCAATCCGCTCCAGGCTGGTACCTTGCTATTTGAACTGTCACGCTTGTTCTCCACGCGAGGACGCGTCTTTCTCGTCATCGCGCGAATGCGTTATCAGTTTGAAATGCGCTCGTGCCGCCCGCGATGACATAACTCGCGTGCCGAGACTTCACGCACTTCCTCCCTCTCTTTTCCGCTCTCTTCAACCTTCGGTGGAAGCTCCTCTCTGGGGAAAGAACGCAGTGGCGCCAATGATCAAAGAATGGCGATGCAATGGAAGGAGGTGACGATAACGAGGCTAAGAGTGGGGAGAACCGACATGGAGGAATCACATCGACGTACATGGTCAGGGGTTACTAACCCCTCCGGTTATCAACCGTGCGATAATTATAGTATTTGTACTATAATGCGATTGTCTTCGTAGAGTATAATAATATTAAAATTTAAAATGTAATCGACCCTTGACGTTTTCTCAATATCGAATAGTTATTGAATTTCGATAGTATTGTCCAATATTCCTAGACTGCAATTCAGTCGTATATAGTTCAATATGTATATAGATTATTAATTACACACATATATATATATATATACATCCATAGCAGGAGAGTTAATTTGAGGTGGTTTGAGGTCATACGAATCGTCGATATTGGACCTAGATGGGCCTAGATGGAAACATTAGGACAACGACGCGACGTGAGGTGAGGTCAAGGTCGCTCATGGAGATGCTCATTAGGTGGGAGAGATAGATCATGAGGCAATGGTAAAGAGATAGAAGGGGGGAGGGGAGGAAAAGGAAGAGAAAGGATAGGGAAAGCAGAGAAAGAGAATGAAGGGGAAAGAACATGAAAGATAGAGAACCAAGCAGCACGAGGAGGTGGAGGTGCTAAGGCTTCATTTCAGCAAGTGATCGAGCTTGAAGCTCTCATTGTTAAACTATATAACAGGTAAACTACATCATCACAGTCAAAATGTCTCTCCTGAACGAATGAGGACAGTCTTTGATGCATCCGCAGTTATCGGATGTTATGTCACACCTTTCTCTGGATTCTCGTAATGAATAGCCACCCTGCGAGATCTCAGAAACACTTGCCAAATGACATTCGTTTCAGGCCCGAGAGATTTTTACTTCCGTGAAAAGAAAACGAAATTATACAAAAGAATCGTAAAATGTTAACAAAAAAATTCTCGCCTAGGTATTGTGATAATGGGCAGTAATAAGACAAATGAAAATCAGCGTTATAGATGATGCGCAAATTAAATTTTCAATTTTAACTCAGTTTGTTAATAAAAAGTTCCAAACGTTTCGACTCAAACTTGAGTCATCTTCAGTGGTACAATAAAGTGAAGGTATATTTCTGTATCCAATCAATCGCAAAATGGTTCTCAGAACGTGTGAACGTGAAGATCTTTGCATCAAAGTGAATCTTGCGAGAAGGAAAACCGTGTGTGACTGGAAAAGTGGGCGTGACTTGAAAAATGCAATGAGAATATTTTGTGATAATCCGCTGTCGGTCAAAGCGCAATTTATTGGCATTGCCCGATCGAAAACAAGAGCGCCGATAACGATGATTATAATTGAATTCTTTTTAGCGGAGAAAGAAATTGGCCAGGCATCCTTGCGCTCACACAGTTGCGGGAACACAACGTCGACGACGAAAGTTGTTCTCTTTGTACTCGGTGGACTCGGTCTTATGATGCTCGGAGCATCGGGTTCACCGGGAGCGGCGCGTTGCGTTACCCGCGAAATTATTGTCCGCAACGTGCTCGGCGACGGTTCGACTCGCACGACAAAATCTACGCCGATTCGGTCGGCCGTCTTTCGCAGAGGCACCGTACTTTGCAGAAAGTTCAGTAAGCCCGGAGAGAACGAGAGGGACAAAGAGAGCTTTGCGGATTCTCCAAAGCTGCTTTTGTCTACGCCGTCTGCTTCGCCGGCGGAAGCGACCGCGCCGAGCTGTAATTAGTGTTTTACAGACGGTGGCGGTACGAGACGACGAAGGATTAGTAGTATAAAAATGGCCGGGTGATTTTTTCGCGTTGGAAAATCTCTTAAAGTCAGCTGCGCTCGACGGTTCTTCGTGACCGAATTAATTAAATAGCGAGCTCTCCGGCGAAAATTATCCCTTTCTTATGCACTGACTTTTTGGAGGATCGTTTTATAAAAAAAAGAATCTTTAGTTACAATTTTCTGTAAAGAATATGTTTATTCGAAAGAAAAATAGGTAGAATACTTAGTGGAAGCAATTTTTCTGAAATTTTTTTAAAATTCTGGTAAATTAATTTCGAAAGTTTTTCGATATAG